GGCGGAGGCGGCGGCGGCAACGGGCGGGGGAGGGGGGCCGATCCCGCGTCTCCCCTCAGCAGACAATACAAGCGCCTCGGAGCGAGTTCCCGAACCTGCCCTAGCCAAAATGGCGGCCGAGAAAGAGCGGAAGTGACGTAAGTATCTCATTAGCATAAGAACTCATTGTCCAACTAAGTAGGGGGGGCAATGGGAGACTGCACCCCTTCCCTCCATACCCCACAGGGACAACTCTCTTGCTTCTATCTATGCTTGCACCCAACTTTTCCAAAGGGAGGGTTCACCCAATACCCTTCTCCACGCCTAAGGGAAATTATATAATCCCCACTGAGAGGGAGTTCTCGCGAGAACCTGGAGGATTTGCCATTGACCCACTAGGAGGCGCCGCGGATAATGGCCGCAGTGCGCTCCCAGGGCCCGTGTGCTTGGCGGGCGCCTTCCTCTGGCCGCAGCGCCAGCGGCGGAGGCAGAAGCAGCGGGCCGCAGCACGCCCAGCACTCAGTCAGGTGGCCGTGCTGGGGATCCCTGCGCGGGCCCAGCAGAGCCTGGACTACATCTGGAAGGAGGGGTGTGCTGGGCAGCCTTGGGCAGCTCCACGTGCTTGGAGGCGCGCGCTCTCACGGGCTGGGCAGCAACTGGAAGGGGCAGGGACACCTGCCTTAAATTAGGTGTGAGGGCCTCGTGCTTCACAAGCCCACTTGAGAGATGAGGCAACTCCTAGACCCTGAGGCCTTCCTGGTGAGGTGGGGTATTCAGTGGACAAGGGCTGCATTTTACAGGTCTGCTGTGCTGGGCCTTGACATTCTTCCAACTCAAGTCATGGACTCTTCTCTTTGGCCTGAAGAAAACAAGTGGAATCCCTAGTGTTTTGAGGTGAAGCCAGAGGATGAATTGATGTTGCTAATGGCAAGATCCTTAAGAACATTTTGCAACCCTAGGGCAAGTTCTAGTGCTCCTACAATCTGTATAGCATGACAGCATGTGGATAGTGGGATTGAGAGTTAGGCCAGTCTCAACACTTAGAGTGATCTGAGTGTATCATTGGTGAAACGTATTTAAAAGTAATAAAATGTCAATGAGGATTAACCAAGGCTAGTTTTTCAATACGTGGCCTGTAAATACACTTTCACTGTTCCTTTCAGTTTACAAGTTAAAATAGTTTCAAATAATACTTAATGTCTCAAAAGAATCTACCAAACTGGTATGAATTATGGTTAACTACACTCAGTGTCTAAGACTTTGGTTAGCAAGTGTAACAAACTTTCATCCAACACACTGTTGCATTAATTTCTGTAATTCCACTAACATCTTTAAAAACTAAGTCTCAATAGAAAGCAGGAGCTGGATAAAGTTGTTTTAAAAAAAGCAAAAGGGGAAGAAGCTTAGGGCAATCATTTGATTCAGGAAGATGAAGAATCTACACACTGCAAGCAGAAAGCAAAATAAGGTAATTTTTAGTTTTCCTTGGGTCTACTTATATTTCATAGTGATAATATAAAGGAAGAACATCTGGATTTCATCATTGGCCTCGTTTATGAAGCAAAAATGGATGCTGTATTCAAATATAAATGTTTAAAAAGATTTTACAGCGTTTATGTCACCAGATTTACTACAAAAATGAATCTAAATAGTGTACTCCTTTTTAAAGGACTTCGAAATGAGCAGTGAAACTCAATTCCAACACTGAGAAAAAGTGTTGTAATGACAGTGGGAAGAACTGAAAAGATTAAAAAGAAAAGTTATCTGGTCTACATGAGGTACGAGAAAGCAAATGCTTCACAGTAGGGCTCTCTGAAGTAGTTAATTTCTGCTCCACATACTTCACACTGGAAACTTAGTCTGAGTTTAATGAATAAATTCTCAGCACTCCAAAAATATTGAGCACTTTATAATTGTTACTATATAATTTAACACAAAGCACTGATGAACTTTCTAGTTGTTATTAATGATTGGAGAAGTCACTTCCCCAAGGAAAGCTGGTCTCCGGTGGGCCAACTGGATTGTTCTGAACAAAATAGAATCACAGTGGCTCTCACTACAATATATTAGGGCTTTAAATATTGGAGTGGGGAAAAGTTTAACTGTTCAAATGACACAGGTTTTAGTTTATTATTTATTTCTGCTAAGAGCAAAGAGAATGAATCATTAATTTGTTTCATCAGCAAATTAAGCCCCAAAATACATAGACCTTATTGTTCACCAAATATGATTAGGTAACTCATTCTATTCTTTTCACTTGGAAAAGAAAGTCGACTAAGCTTATTTGTTCAATGTTCTTACTCAAATTAAAAAAAATGACTCAAAAGCTATGTTACAGTTAGAAAATAATTATCTTTTTTGAAATACCTATGTTAGAGAAAGCAAATAAACTAAATATTTGGTCTGGCTTTGTGGACTGTAGGTATCACACAGAAACCACCATATTTATATTTCAGAAGCATAATTATCATTCATCCCCCAACATTTATCAGGCATAAAGAACTATGAATCTAGTTTTTATAAAGAATATTTCAGATTCTGTCCCATGTAAGAAATTCTGCAATCATACTCTAAAAACACCAGCAACATTTAATACAAAAACCCATATGCATTTATTTATAGGTCTTAATACAGCAAAATGTAAATGAAAATTGAGAGCACTGCTTATTAGGCTAGTATCTTTAAAATTTAATTTGAAGTAAAAAATGGAGTTTCTTCAGATAACATATTTGTATAAAATTTACCTTACCTTATGGTTTATGCTCTAAGAGTACATGTTATAAAAATCAGAAACAGGGCTCCTTTTATATTTCAATTGAAATGAACATAAGTAGCAATGAACAACTTTTATGTAGTAGTAAAAAGAGTCAATAATCCTTTCAAGAAAGACACGATTTCATTTCCTCCCAACTTGGATTCACCATAAACACGATCCACAAATGATATTGGAACCTGGTTTAAAAAAAAAGTATATGTTAAAGTCAGTCTTCAAAAAAAATCAGAAGGGAATCTCAGTAGGTGTATAGTCATTACTATAACAGAAGCCCTTCAGGTCAGTTCAGAATTAGGGGATTCTTAAAGCACTCATGCAGGCCAGGCGCACACCTGAAATCTCAGCACTCGGGAGGCTGAGGCAGGAGGAGCACTGTTTGAGACCAGCCTGGGCTACATAGTGAGTTCCAGGTCAGTCTCAACTACATAGTGAGACCCTATCTCAAAAACAACAACAACAACAACAAAAAAGCACTCATTTATCCAAATCAAATATGCATATTATTGTCTAAAAACAGGTCACAGGAGCCAAATCTAAAAATGAAAAACACCCAACACTGACTATTTTGGTTTATTCAAGTTTCAGGCTCCATTTCAAGAGAAAAAAAAACTCTAAAAAAAGCAGCCTTTCACTTAGTCTTCTCGGTTTCTGAAGTTTAGCTATAATTTCCACAAGAGCAGCATTCTAGGGTAGCTGTTTTCTAGGGCAACGTTTTAGTGTTAAGAATCTTCCCCAAGAGCTTATTAGCTATAACAGCTGGTCCCGCAGGCCCTTACTCTGCCATTCCTTCCCATTTTCATTTACTCAATGAATGAGCAAATAAGATTCATCATTCAGTTTAAAGTATGGTGGGAGTTGGTTACAAAAGGAAAAGTGGCTAGAAGACTCAAACCATAATACTGAGTGGTCAGACTAGGCTGGAGAGGCACCTGTAACTTTTCATTACTTAAAGGGAAAATCCGGGGTTTGAGATGAAGCTCATTAGTACAGTGCCTAACATGGACAAGGTTCGGGGTTCAAATGAAAAGAAAAAAAGCAAAGATGCCTTTAAGTCACAGTAGGTCAAATGTATTAATTTGAAATGAATTTGAATTTTCACCCCTTAATGCCACGGACATTTTAAATTGAAAGCCCACACTGTTAATAGTTATGAAAGTTATATTTTTCACCACAAAAAGTCTACACCTTACTGTTCCTTTATGGGTACATTAGCATCAGTTACATACCTCACCAATAGTGTAATTCAATTGCCTTGCCCGAACAATCATCTCCATCTGGAAGACATAGCCTTTAGAAACACATTTTTCTATTAACTTCTGTAGAACTTCTTTTTTGTATAATCTGTAAGAAACCACAGTATAGATGAATATCTGGGTCAGTATACTGTCTATCCCTATCTTGAATATTCAGAGTTCACTGATATTTATGAAGCCTAATATACTCACTAGCTATTGGTATAGAGAAAAATTCTCATAGTTGCTTTCTCTTGGAGACAGGCCATAAAATTTGCTAACTACTTTAGTAATAATTTTGAAAATGAATTTTCAGTATGTTTTAGAGAACTACCTTCCTTTCACACTATTAAATAATTATTAAAATATGCTAAAACAAATCTCTTGATGCAGAACTACTCATTTCTTTTGGTCTTAAAATTTGCATTTCAAGTTGAAAGGGGAGGAACCTGTTCCAAATACTGGAACAGGAATTGTCAGAATGAAATAACTACGTACACCAGATGACAAGAACCCAGTAATTAGCCAGCATTTCCTGGAAAATGTCTATTTCCTAACACTTAATAAATTCTCTAGGATAAACTAAGGCCCTCTAGGCTGAGTTGTTTAAAACGGGAACTATGCACCATGGGATGGAAGTGATTCTGGTGGGAATCAGCTAACAACTGAGGTCACTGAGCACATGCCAAGGCGTAGCCTCACTTCGAGGACTGCAGATGACCCAGAGCTCAGCAGATTTACAAAGTAAAGACAGGGGCTGGAAGTTCTGTGGGTGAACCCAGTCACCTTCTTCAGTGACTTCAAATAGTGAGGAGCTCCCTGTTTTCAAAGAGGGTTCATTATTATTTAAATCAGTGAGTAGCAAGGTGGGGATTTCTACCTTTAAAAAAGCTAGGAGAGACAGAAGTTTTTAGAAGTTAAGATTGAACTGACAATGCCTAAGGGCGTCTGTCTGTTCCGCAGAACCAGGTTTGCAGACTTCTTTGGCTTTTAGTTGTGTAGGCAACAGATAACACAGGCCAAAGAAGAGCCTATGAGTGCTTAGCATATGTATTATTTTATCCACTGAAATCCCACAAGAAGAATTCAAAGAAGTGTGGAATAAATATGGTGAGGAAAAGAACATGTTGATAACAATATTTATTTATTTAGTAATAAACTGGGAAGAGAAGGAGGACTGTGATAGTCATGGGACATGTTTTACCATTAAGTGTGGGATTGGGCAATTATTTCTTTTCCTTTAAGAGTCATTTTTTGGGGCCGGGGATTTAGCTCAGTGGTTCAGTGGCCTGCCTTGCAAGCTCAAGGACCCGAGGTCAATCCCCGGTACCAAAAAAAAAAAGAATCATCTTCCAAGATATTTTTCTTCACTGCCTTCTTCCTCTTCCCCATTCTCCCCACAGTATCTTTAAAATTATGGCTAATTAAATAAAATTACGTTTATGTAGGTATATGATCCCATGAATAGGATCAGGAGCAAAGTGGCCTTTAATATTAAATTGCTTTATATGCAACTGTAGACTTTTCTGAGATTTTTTTCTTATTTAGTAAAATGTACTACCTCTCAAATCTATTGATCTAATGACAATGAATTTTGTCCAATGACAAGCTGAATTTATGTATTTAATAAACCACTACTTTTATGAGAAAACAAAGGGGTTTAATAACCTTTTAAAATTTGGGCAGTTAACAGGCCCCCTTTTGGGTTTGGCTTCTCTGTCATTTGTACAGAACAGACCCTATCACTGCGGTCCTACCTGAGAGCCAGAGCTCCCAAGCCATCCTTCACCTTCATCCCTACGTGGCGCCTGCTCTCAGTGAAGCCCCTCGCTCATTACTCTCCCTGCTAGGTTTCTCTGCACACCCCCTACCCTTACAACCCATGCAGCCACCCTGGGTCTTCACTCAAAACCATCACAACTGTGACCTGTGAAACTGACACGGGCCTTTCTCTTTCTGTACAAAGACTGTGAATACCACTATTCATTCTCTGCATTGCTGCTATATGGCAATCAGAGATCTTAGTCAGATCATACAATTCTTTTGCCTTAAAACTGTAACTGAAAGAATCTATTTATTGTGTCCCTTTCTCTTATGTATACTCAGATCTGCTTTCTAGCTTACTTTTTAGTTCTAGAGGCTTCATTTTTCTTTTTATCTGATATTCAACAGCCGGGGCTTTGTGTGTGCTTTAAGGACATGAGAATCAACATTATTTAATGAACAACAACAAATATCAAGTAATGAAATTATTAAGTAATATATGGGGTTTGTGGCCTTAAATAGGCATTTTCTAACTTCAGAAACTGGAAAAAAAAAGGGCAATCTTTAGTTATTTGACCAAGCCATACAAAGCAGTTCACATCTACTGGAGCAAATCTAAAACAACACATGCACAAACCCTCTGGAACAAACACAAAAAAACCCAGGGACCAAAGCTTTGGTCCAATTAAACCAGGAAAAGGAAGGGTCCAGGGGAGTATAACTCAGTGGATAGAGCCCTTGCCTACATGTTTGACCCAAAAGAAAATAGTAACCGAAAAAGCTTCACATAAGAAAGACTTTAAACTTTTCTGCAAATAATATTGCATTTATACAAACTGCAGAAACTGAGACCTGTGCTTTTCTTTAGTGCACACATCAGTAATAGCAATGAGTAGCTGTGCCTCATACTAGGTGAATAAGAACATTTACCTGAGCCCTGTATTCAACTTAAGCTTCTAAGGAATTTCAATGTTTTTATATCATTCTAGAACAAAAGCAGGGTAGAATGAAAAACAGTTCTTTAAAATAGCCATTGTAACACAAGAAATTTAGGCAAATTATAAATAGTAGAAAGTATTACTTTACCTGAAGCTTCCTGTTAAATCAGATGCTCCTGGTCTGAGCAAAATCTGAGTTATAAAATTGGCACCACGGCTGCCAAATAAAACAATCAGATTTTTCTTATTAAATATAATTTATAAACAAGAGAAATATACCCAAGAAAAGAAACCTAACCAGAATGCTAAAAATGCTACAGGAACTCATAAGCGCAATTTTATTTTCACAGATATACCAATTTCACAAATGTAAACACAACTACAAAAATGTTAATCCTCTACAACAAAGAAATTTTTAGTGAAATGAGATTGGATACTTTCAGGAAAAAATTAGGGATTTTTGTTCTCCGAAGGTGAAATTTATTTATTTTTGGTATGGAGAATGAACTCAGGACCCTGAGCTTGCAAAGCAGGCCGGGGAACCATGGAGATAAATCCCCGGCCCTGAAAGTGAAATTTAGCGGAGAACTATTAAGCAACCATCCTCCCAAATTTCAAAAACAAAAATGTTACAAAACTGGTGATTACCAAGTCAAAATCTAGAATTATGGACACTTCTCAGACAGAAAAGAGGATTTGCTAAGGAATTTGTCAAACAAACAAAAGGTAAGCTTTGTTAAAGATTTTCCTTTTCAAATTCCAGTTAAGAACAAAGAGATAATAGGTCAGCCCGCATAAAAATGGTACAGTACTTTTCAAAAAGGTAAGCAAGTAGGTAGGAGAGGGTCTTCTTTTTGGAGATCTCTGGAAACAGACTCATTTCATAGTCTTAAGTCTGCTTGCCCACTCCAACCAAATATTTTATACACCAGGGGCTTAAACAGTGGAAATATCTTAGTTTTGGAGGCTGATAACTTCGAAAGCAGAGTGCTGGCTTACCGTAGCCTCAGCCAGGGGAGAAAAAGAGAGTAAAGTAAGTCTTTGGCCTCTACTTAAGAGGGCACTAATCCCATTAAGAAGCCTGACGCCCACATGACATCTTCTAAACTTAACCTCTCAAAGGTCCCATCTATAAATCCCAAAAGACTTTAACGTATGAATGAGTGGGGGGGGACACAAACAGTCCGTAACAGTAACTTTGGAGTAATTGCTTTAAGCACAATAGAGTGTAGATTATTAGTGTATCCCACACACTGGGAGAGCCAGCAGGAGTGCTCAGGTGCAGGTCTCTGGTCTCTGGTCTCTACTTAGGAGAGCATTAATCCCATATGACATCTTCTACACTACCTCTCAAGGACTCATCTCCAAATTCCGAAACACTGGGGGTTCAAGATTTAACAGGTGAATCTGGGGGAAACGTAAACACTCAGTCCGTAACAATAACTTTGGGGTGACTGCTTCAAACACAACTAATATAGACTATTAATGTCTCTCGTGGGGGTGTGGGTAGTGTGGGCCTGGGGGGTACTGGCGCCTCAGCAGGAGTGCTCAGGTACAGGTCTTTCTTCTCTACTTAAGAGGGCATTAACCCATTGTGGGTCCTGCTCACAAAACATTTCCCAAACCACCTTCCCAAGGCCCTACCTCCAAATTCCAAAACACCTGGAGGTTCTTCTTTAACATATGAATAAGGGAAACAACAACACTGAGTCCCTGACAGTGACTTTGGGGTGATAGCTTCAAACACAATATAGACTATTAGTGTCTAATAGCTATTATTAACATTGCAAAAGATGCCAAGTGCCTAAACAAAATGATGTTTGTATTGTACTTCAGCCATTTTAATCTGCCCGTTGAGAAAAAAAGTTTTCCCCGAGGGACTGATGTGAAGTTTCTCTTTAAAGACAAGGTCCCCTTAGCGAATATTATCTTTATACAAATCAACGATTAGGGTAATCAAACTGACATGACTACCAACAACTTTTTCCCTTAAATGTTTCTTACTAGCTATAAAAATATATTCCAGGGCACTTTACTCCCTAAAAAGTGGATTTAAGAAAAGGAATATGTGTATGTGTACCTACATATCTATGCAAGGAAGTATTTATCTTTTTCCAGACAATATCTGTGTTGCCCAGGCTGGCCTTGTATCTCTAGGTTCAAGCAACTTTCCTGCTTGGTCTCCTGAGTAGTCTGGGACTATACAGGTGTGGCTGTAATGTCTCTAGGAAACCCTGATCTTAGATAATGGGCAAATGACCAAATTCAGAGTTCCTTCAGGGATCACTGGTTTTCAACTCTGACTGCACAAGAGAATCATTTGAAAGCCTGTGAAAATACTGATGCTTACACCCCACTTTTGCAGACTTGTTCATATAGTGGTAGTTTTTCATGATTTTCTCCACACACAATTCTAGTATTTAACAGGAAGGAAAAGCACTGCCTTATCCCACTCTTTTTTATTTCATGGGTGTTTGGGCTCTTAAATGTTTTAAATGACCGCCCCAAGCCTCTACAGTTGAGTCAGAAACGAGGTGAACTTATTGAAATCTTGAGTAAGAATAAAGTGGGTGATAAAAGAAATACATTAAAGATAGGAATACAGAGATTCCTGAGAAATATAGGTGAGGTAGATTAACATGGTAAAGAAATTTTCAAAGTAATTAAATGACAAACAGGATTTTAACCCAAGTCTGACTCTAAAGCTTCATTACATTATGCTGCTTAATTAAAGATGAAATCATTAAGTATCTTATTTACTTAAAGTTGCTAAAAATGTAGGTGTAAGGAGAAAATCCTACTTATTTAATCCAATAATATAGACAGTTCACTTAAATCAACTGAAGGTCAGGTGGAGAAACTATTGCTGAGCCAAACTTTTTCTACCAGTTTCAAAGGTCTGTGATGACTTCTTAATGAAAAACATCCAAAAAACAAAAACAAAAACAAAAAAGAACTTTAAAAGCAAAGGAAAAACCGTAATTAAGGATCTGGGAATATTTCTAACAGTTATAATCTGCATCCAAGGCTGCATGAAAATTTAATCCAAAGACTGTATTTCTAGTGGTTCCACCAATAGTAGCAGCATGTGTACATACCTGATTATTTTTCTTTTCAAATCCCAGCCATATACACCTCCATTTCCTTTGTAGCGAGTTCCAGAGACAATATCAAAATTACCCTCCTTTTGCTTTCTGTAGAAAAAGTAACAGTCAATTGTAAAAAGCTCTAGCTTCAACAGGAATTTTCCTAAGTTACACAAACAGAACTTTAAAAAAACACAAGAAAAATACCGAGGAAATAGATGGACTAGTACTGAAAGACCTTTCAAAATAAGGCTTTCAAACCTTACCTATTTCATTTGTAACCATCTTGAGAAAAAAAATCCTATATGACATTATTATTTTGATGTCCACATGTGATGATATCATCCTATAAGTATTACTAAAATTATCAATTTTCCCAATCTCTTTTCTATTCCGCTCCCCCTCACCTCCAGTAAACATAATGCTAAACCAGTGTTGGTATCCCTCTAAATCTTTCTCTAAGCTTATAGAAAACAATGAAAGACACACAACTCCCTACAGTTTTTGGTTCCATTTACAACGCTGGAATCCAAAAAGGTACACCTTATAACTTGCTTCTTGTCAGTTAACATACATCTTAGAATCATGGACAGCCCTGGAGGTCAACAAGAGATTTTCCCTATTCCTTTTATTAGCTGCAAAACTAGTATAGACTATTCAACTAAGACCTCTGTGGCTGTTTTCATAATGGGCTCTCCTCTCTGCAATAATAAAACCACAATGAATAATACCATAATAAACATTCTAACAGATATTGCCAGAAATTATTTTCCAAAGGCTACAGCAACTCACACTTTGTGTTCAGCAGTATTTGAATGTATCCATTTTTTACCATCTTAATATTAATAGTAATAGTACTGGATATTTCTCTAAAAGTTAATTTTGACAAACCAATGGCTAATAGTTATTTTAATTTGCATTTCCTTGACTGCAATCCTTAACAACTTCTGTCATGTTCATTAGTCTTTGAATTACTCTTACATAGGCCAGCTTGCGTCGTTTCCCTCCCCACCCTTATCAGGCCAAAGATGTGGCTGAATATTAGATATATAAGCCAAGTGGGTCCAAGGTGACTCTACAGAGATCAAAGCATGAACAGTGGCTATTAAGGAGCATGGAGAAAGTATCTCAAGCAAAGAATACAGAGCTCTGTGTTAACTAAGAAATGAAAAGAGTATGCCTGTGGCCTGGAAGCAAAAGGAAAGGGGCACAGCATCAGGTCAGAAGACGGGGGGGGGGGGGGGTTGGGGGGGGGTGGGGGGGGGGGGGGGGGTGTTTCACAGAGGGGTTTGAAAGCTACGGAGTGGATTCATTTCCCAGGTATTAATGGGAACTCCCTAAGTATTCTAAATAGAAGAGTGACACAATCTGTTTTCAATTCTTATTCATGGGAGTTTCTCGGTCTCTTGAGTTTTCTAAGAATACAGTATCATTTGTAAATAAACACAATTTTGTATCCTTTACCAATATTTAACTAAATTCTTGTCTTACTCATTACTTAAATTACTCATGTTTAATGATAGTTGGCACACCTATCTTCATGAATTCCTTGGCAATGATTTAATATTTCATTAGTATTTGGTACAATGTTTGTATTAGGACTATATCATCTTAATCATGCTTCAAAGGTTTCCTTCTACTTTTACTTTCAAGATTTTTATTAGAGAAGAGCAGCAATTAAAGTTCCTTTTAGCATCTATAGACAATTATGCCGCTTGCTTTGTTAACATGATAAATGAATCACATGGCAGGATTCCTGATGTGAACCATTCTGGCATTTCTCAAATAAACACTATTTACTCACGGTGTTTCATGCTAATGATTCAAGGCTTTCACTAACAGGGAAGTCACACTCATCTTCTGTGGGCCGAAAAAATTTATGTAACAAAGAAATTAGGTTTATTTGTCCCTCAGGTCTCCTAAAATACATCATCTAACCACATACCTATATTTACAAGCCCCAAATCTACATTTGTTATATTTTTGAAAAAAACCTTAAAATAGCGTGTACATTTTTAATTAATGAAGAATGAAAAATGAAAGTAAGTCCAAAATCAATAATTCATTTTAATCATCATTTTTTTCAAATAACAGAAATAGTACCTACCTAATGAATTCAGGAATAAACTTTGGCTGAAATGTAGAAGGAAGAAACAGTCAGTAAAGTAGGATAAGACTATCATAAAAAACTAATAAACAACTATGTCACTTACATGGTGTGAGAGATCAGCATCCATAATAATTATATAGTTTCCTGTGGCATGCTTCATTCCATGAATATATGCAGTTCCTGAAAAATGAAAGCACCTATATCCATTAAGGAATATCACCAGAAATGTTAAGCTATACAACTGAGGGTGTGTGTGGGGGGCATTGCTTAGCACTCAAAAAGCCAACATCAGTCCTCTAAAAAATGGGTAACTCTCAATGGTCCACATGGTTACAATTCACATGTATCACAAATACAATCAAGCAGGTAGCTGGTCACCCCCTTTCCAATCTGATGACAATGTAATAGGAAAAAAAAAAAATCAGACCTAAACAATAGTCCGCTCAAGCAATGAAGTTTTGAGTCTTAGATTACATAAAAATCACATTCTCATGGTTTTAAAAACCATCTTCCTGTTGGTGCTTCCTCAGTTATCTATCAAGACACCGAAGAGGCCAGACCTCTTCTTAGACCTCACATTTACCTATCAACTTCCTATTTGCTATCTCTCTCTGGATATTTCAGAAATCCCTAATACAACATTTCAAAATAAGCACCCCAATTCCTACCTCTGTAATGGACCACATCTCAGAAAACCCCACACAATGACAATTCAAGTGATGAACTTTGATTTCCTGCCTTTACCAATGATTTCTAAACTATATGTAATTAAGGCCTACTGATTCTATATTCAAACCATCTCTTAATTCCCTTCTCTTGTCTCCACCCTCATGTCCACCCGTTACTCCAAGTTTCCCTGCTTTTGCTCTTCCTGGCACTCCAAGTTCATTTCCACAAAAGCTGCCCACTGAATGTCTTCTACATTCAGTCTCCTTACATACATTAGACCTCTATACCATGATACATGGTGGCAAAGGGATACCTAGAAACAACTCAGCCTCCTTCATGCCTCAAGTCTACTCAGAGACTAGGTATGTTAGGGTAATTGGCTTGGAGCAGGAATTGGGAATTCCTGCATTCTCTGACTCCAAAACATCATAATTAGGAGGAATAACTTCTAATGTTCGAGATAGCACAGTATGACAAAAATGGTTGGCAATAATTAACTGCTATTTCTAAATAGAGGATTGTTAATGTTTCCCAACATAAAGAAATGATGTCTTAGCTGAGTGATGTGCCAATTACCCTGATCTGGGTCATCATATATTGTATACACATTTGAAATGCCATACTGTAACCCCACAAATATGTATAATTACTATGTCAATTAAAAATTAAAATACATAGTCTTCATGGCAATTTTTACATATTTCAATCCCAAAGAATCTTCTGGATTCAGATATTGAGAACATGTGATGATGACATAGAAGATTCAAAATTTTAGGAATTATGTTTTCTCTATGCTCCTCAAATTTTTCAATAGAAGTATATCAATGCTCAACATGAACAACTCTGATTAAATTCAGAGTTTCACCTCAGAATTACTGAACTCTTCTGAGATATTCTATAATTCCCCATGTTTAAAGTTGAGTCTTTCTATAAATAAAAGTGCAACTTTACTTTCTAAACTTATACTTTAAGACTGTTGAAAGATTAACACCTAGAAGAGTATGCTGGTCCAGAGTATCTCCCTCAAATCCATTCTCTGACCCTTCCTTGCTCTAACTTATACTGTAAGGAATTATTTTTCCCAGGTTCTTTTATCAATGGGCTTCCAGACAGCTTTTGGAGGCACACGGGAAGACTGCAGGTGGAAAAAAGGGAAAGTCTAAGTGTCCTTCCTGTCTTACTCTATGTCCCAGGATTGACTGTGCATCCTCCATGGCTCCAGCTCCTGCCAGACTCCACCACCCTATAATTCTAGCTCCCTCTAGGGAGACAAGATTGCTGGGCTATAAAAACATCACCACCTCCCAACACTGCTCCATCCCTGGGAGTGGTAATGACCTCTAGCCATTACTAATCTCTTAATTACACCGTTCCATATGGCTTCTTAACAACTTCTTTGCCCGTGTAACAAGAACCCTTGTGTTAATTTCCCTATATTGAAAGACTTGGTATAGATATTCCTAAAAAACCCAACAGAATTCCACTCAACCCAACCATACCCTCCTTTCTGGTAATCTTCCCAAGAGAGTTAAAGACACTGTAGTGATACATGCATATCCATGTTTACAGCAGCACAACTCACAACAGCTAACCCTTGGAAATGGTCTACGTAGTCATCAACAGATGAACGGACAAAGAAAATGTATATAGTCACAGTAGAGTGAAAATCAATCAAAAAAGGTTAATTTGAATCATTTGTAGGAAAATGGATACACTTAAATAAATAAATAAACAAGTTAAATATTGATTTCTAGTATATGAGAAACTTGAAATTGTGGTAGAACACACCTGTAATCCTAGGCCTCGAGAGAAAAAGGCAGAAGGATCACTGTGAGTTCCAGGCCAGCCTGGGCTACTTAGTGGGTTCAGGACCAGCCTGAACTACAAAGAGAGACTCTGCCTCAAAAAAAAAAAAAAAAAAAAAAAAAAAAAGAAAAAAAAAAAAAAAAAAAAAGCAAAAGATAGATGATAGAAAACAAGGAGGTAGATCTTCTGCAGATGAAAAGGGGTCTAGAGATGGAGGGAGAGACAAGGAGGAGAGGGAAAGAGAAACTAAAAAGTATTACAGTTTGCTACGTATACATACCACCCCCCATGATGAATAGATTATGTATGCATCACAAACATGTACCAGTAAGAAAAAAGAAAAATAAATAAGATTTGCAGTGTTTTGTTTTGATGGGCCATGACACAAACACCCAAGTTAAACCACTTAATCATCTTTAAGATCATTAAAAAACATCAAAAGCAGCAAGTAAATATATGAAAAAATGTTATACATCACTGGTCATTCATGAGATGCAGATGAAAACACTGAGATTCCACCTCACCCCACAAAGAATGGCTGCTATTAAGAAATTAACCAGTGCCAGGTGTGGTGGTGCACACCTGTAATCCCAGCACTCAGGAGGCTGAGGCAGGAGTATCACTATGAGTTCGAGACCAGCTTGGGCTACATAGTGAGTTCCAGGTCAGTCTCAACTACATAGTGAAACCCTGTCTGAAAAAAAAAAAGAAAAGAAAAAAAAGAAATCAACCAATAACAAGTGTTGGCAGAGCAGTGGGGAGAAAGGAACCCTTCTCCATTGTTGGTGGGAGTGCAGAACAGCCCAATCACTATGGAAATCAATATGGAGATACCTCAAACAACTAGGATTAAGAAGTTCCATTTGACCCAGCTATCTCTCTGCTGGGTATCTTTCCAAAAGAATTAAAAGAATCATACCAGAGTGATATATGCACACCCATGTTTATAGCAGCATTTGTAATAGCTAAAACTTGGAAACAGCCCATTTGCCCATTAGTTGGAGACTGGATAAAGATGTAGTTTTTCTATAAAATTGAGTATTACTCAGCCATAAAAAATGAGGTCGAGTCATTCATAAGAAAATGGATGCATATTGAGGCCATACTCGTAAGTGAAATAAATAAGTCACACGTGTGTAAATACCGAATAGTTTCTCTTGTGTGAAATACTGTAATTGTAAATAAGATCCTAATGGTATAATTGACAAGGTGAAATTGGAAGAAAAGGGCTAAAGATGTGTAGAGGAAGTGGGAAGGGTAGGAGAAAGGAAATAAGGGAAAACAAAAAAATGAGAAAACAAAAACATGGAAATAAAGTTTTTGAAAATAGGGAAGGGACGGGGGATGAAGGGAAGGCAAGGTATGGGGAAAAATGAGAACCATGTAAAAGTACAAGTTCCCAATGATGAATGTAACTGTACTGCATACCTAAAATGTACTAATAAACTCAATGAGGAAAAAAAATCATTAAAAAATATCATAAATGGTTAAGTATATTTTGGCCTGGTTCCACACTGGGGAACTGCACACTGGATAATTTTATCAAAGCAAATAGCGGTTATGAGAAGTGAAGAGAGTCTTCTTACCTAGGCCCAACTTTTTCTCCCGTGGTCTTAGAAGCTATAGGAATAAGAAATAACATCTCAACACAAAATTTGAAAATCTATTTTAAAAGTGATTTTACTCTTTTAAGTGCATACTCATTTTAATAAAAAGTTAACATTTATAGCCCTTAAAGAAGAATATGCTTAATATTTTTTGCAAAGGTTAAAAAAAAAAACTGGTAACAAACCAAACAGCTTAACATAGCTTTTAAGGAAAAGCAACATTATTTCTAAGCTTACAGGTTAATTTTTTAATTTTCTGGTGTCATCTACTTTATTTTAAATAATTTTATCTCTATATCTACTATTTGAGCTATCATTTCCAATAATAACCTTTTAATTACTTTCTATAAAAACTATGGGCTTAATTCATTATTAACTTTTCACAAAATTTGTAAGACTTGCTTACTTTCCCAATTCCCTTTGTGATTTTAAATACTGATAGCACTCTTGCTCTACCAACCTATCTTGACTTTTCACTTGGACAATCTCAGGTCTTCACTGGTCCAATAATTGTTATATTCCTAGCAAAAAGATTAAGTTGTTTCTCTTTTTCTTATAGTTTGCCACATATTTAGTCTTTGCTTCATATATGGACCTTGACTTTTTTCTTCAGCCTCTTTCCTAGTGAGCATATCACATCCTCTTCTTGTATTTCCTGTGTATAAGCAGATCTCCCATTGCAAATGTTAAAAAAGCATTTTCATCTCAAGCTGAATTAATTTCCCCCCTTTTTCTTTACTGCATGCATGCTGCTGTAGGCCTTGCAGAAGAACAGAGATGGATAAAATTCATCGCTATCTAGTAAGTGCTCATAGGCGAGAAAAAAACTTATTCAGTCACCTATAATTAGAAGTCAATGAGCAAAACCAGACAAGATCTATGAGATCATAGCCAGACTTTGATTTTGTGATTGTTACTGACAAAATACTAACTCCAACTTTTTATCTGCCCTAAAAAAGCAAACCTTTCAAAGCTAATCAGAGATTTTCTGTAACACTGTTTCACCTCAAAAATATTTATTCTTAAAATGATCACTGTATTATTCACTTTTCAAAAATTTCAAAGATTTCAGCCACTATTATATTGCATATGGTAAAAGCATTATGGAGTGGTTAAAAGAAATGTGAGAATCTGCTAACAAAACATCTCTAAGATATTATTAAGAAGTAGTAATGGTGTAATCCCAGCATTTTGGAGGCTGAGGCAGGAGGATTGCTACGAGTTCGAGACCAGCCTGGGATACATAATGAGTTGCAGGTCAGTCTCAACTACCTGTCCTGAGACCCTGTCTCAAAAAAAATAGTAGTAATGGGAGCCAGGGATTTAGCTCAGTGGATCCACTGCCTGCCTCACAAGTGCAAGGTCCTGAGTTCAATTCCCCGTACCAAAAAAAAAAGTGTAATGATACAGGAAGACTGAAGTTCTGTTTAAAAAGAAAAACATGGGGGCAGAAAGATCACAAGTTGGAAGCTAGCCTGGGCTACAAAATGAGTTCAAGGCCAGCCTAGACCATTAGCTACATTAGTTAGTTCTACACTGTTTGCACACACACACATCTATGTATACATGTATGTGTACATACATGTATATACAAAAAAAAAAACAAAAACAAAAAAAAACAAACCATTGACCCAAGTCTGCCCTGGGAAGGGGCTGAAATGCAGAATAAGAAGTGCCCATCAAAAGCAATTTCAGTTTTCTTAGAAATATTTACATTTTGTACGAATTTATATAAGCCAGGTGTGGTGGTCCACACCTGTAATCCCAGCACTCAGGAGGCTGACACGGGAGGATCACTGGGAGGACAAAGCTAGCTTGGACTACATACTGATACTCTGCCTCAAAAAAAAAAAAATAAGACTTTCTATTTCTTATGTAGTAAGTTCAAATCGTTTCTAATTCATGTGCTTTACTTTCAGATCCTTAATTCTACTTTTCCACACTCCACATCCTGCACTAATCCTACAGCCTCTACGTAAGGTAGGACAGACTGTCAGCTAGGACTGCACTCTGGAGCCACACTGCTTTGGTCTGAATCTTGATCATGCTGCTCATCTGCAACATGATCCTGAGCCTCCCATGGCTGGCATGAAGAACAAGTACGTGTACAATGCTTCCAAGAATGCCAGGCACATAGTCTCTGAAGTACATTTACTTAAAACATACTCTATATTATACTATAATTTGACAAAAAAAATTATTTTGGCTAGATATGGTGGCATGTGCCTATAATCTCAGAACTCTGGCAGGCTGAGGCAGGAGGATCGCAAACTTGAGACCAGCCAGGGCAACTTGTCGATTTAGTGAAACTTTGTCTGAAAAATTAAAGAAATTAATTTTTAAAAAGGGAGAGCTGGAGATGTAGCTCAGTGACAAGGCTCTGGCTTCAATCCCCAGTACAAAAGGATGGAGCAGGGAGGCAGCAGGGAGAACAGGATTTATTTTGCCAAAAACTTCCATCAAAGAAATTGGGAAAAAAATGCAACAGAAAATATTCCCAGTTATATAATTATGTTTGAAACGATATATATGCAATTTAACAACCCACTTTATTATCAAAGGTTTCAAAGTTTGAGGATTACAAGCTTATTGCCAGATGAGGGTTCAGAAAAATTATCAATTTATACTAAGATCAATGGTACCATGTACCTGTTTTACCATACTCTCAAACACGTTGGGTTACAAAGAAGAAAATAAAATAAATCTTCAGGTAGGAAAGACCAACTGTACTCTTTTTCTACTTTGTAATTCCTACCAGTGAGGTGTAATTATTTCTCATGTTTGGTGGCCATTTATAGTTCTTATTTTAGAAATTATTTGTATGGTTAGGGTACTGATCTTGTTATTATATAGGTGGGGGGGTATTTTGGGATAAAAGTTTATTATTTTTACATAATTATATCTGGCAAACTTATATGTGTTTTAAAAATAGTAAACATGTATTAATTACATTTTATTAGACCTTAAAAACACTGAATTACAAAATAATGCTGAAAAATGAGTAAGTTTTGAGGATCCAATGTATATCACGGGGACACCAGCTACTAGTATTATACTTCCTATCTGACTTTGTAAAGAACACATCTCAAGTGTCCCCATTACACTTATTTGTGCACATGCAACATACATAGAAGGGGGCAACCTCTGAAGTGCTGGATGTATTCATTAACCTGACTGAGGTAATCATTGCACAGTGTATGCATAAATCACCACGTTATACATTTTATTCATGTACAATTTTGCCGATTAGGTCTCAAAGGTGGAAAAATGTAGAATATAGATGACCTTCTCTCATCTCACACTGGAGGACACAACCACATTTTAAAAAAGCATCCACATTCCTGCTGAAGACCATTACAGTCTTAGATCTTTCTGGTCAGTAAGTAATGCTAATAGTTTAGGATAATGTGCTCCCCATTTTTCTGTGGTCCCACCATTGCTGCTTATGAGCTAGCAATGTAACCCCAGATGACTTTAACTTCTTGCCTCAGTTTCCTCAGCAAAGAATTTTCAAAAATTTCTCTTCCTTGGCTTACCCCCAACCCCTTGGCTTTTTTTTTTTTTTTCAAATAAGCATTTCAGTCAGTTTGAGAGGCTAGTTGACAAAACCATCTGTGATACACATTTGAGGTTTTCCAAGATGGTTTTTGTTTTGGGTATCGGGGGTCAAACTCGGGACCTTGGGCTTGTGAGGCAGGTGGCAGAACCACTGAGCTAAATCCCCGGCCCTCCAAGATGGCTTTGATAGTTACTGAATGAGTGATTTTGATGGGGGTCTTGCTATGTTGCCCAGGTTGGTTTGGAACTCATGAACTAGAGATCCTCCTACCTCAGACTTCCAGATTATCTGGGATTGTATGCCTGCTACTGACTGCCTCTCGTACAAGTGATTTAATGGATATAAAAGGATGAATGAATAGGGAATTTGGTCTGGCACTGCAGGGAAATCATGACAGTGAATGCAATTTTCCTCATTATTTTTAATTTTATTATGTTGACAGAAAAAAAGGAGACTATTTGAGGCAAATGTTATTTAAGAATTTGCAAGGTTGGGCCAGGGATTTAGCTCAGCGGTGCCACTGCTTGCCTCCCAAGCGCAAGCTCCTGAGTTCGATCCCCAGTACCAAAAAATCAAAACAAAAACAGAATTTGAAAGGTCAACTTAGTAGGCAGTCCCAATCACTTCTTGGCCTTTAGGCTAAGATCAAGTGTAGGAGGCAGTCCCTAAATTCAATGAACCACACCCTCCAAGGGTGAGGTTTTCGACAAAGTATTCAAAAATGTCATAATGATGTTCTAGTTTAAACGGTACCATTTAACCCAAAGCCTAGAGCTTCTAAAAGAAAAGTTGGGGAACGGCTGGCCAAAAATATGAACCTAGCATTATGTAAAGTTTCTGCTGAGAAACTAAAATGTATCACCTTTTTACCTCCTTTTGTATTATTCTCTTTTAGATTTTCAGAGAGGTTTGAAGTTTGCCAGACCTGTGAGTGAAATCATCAGTAATACAGACTCACAGATTCTAGAGTGCATAGGTGCAAGTCAGCGGTAAGGTTCCTGCCTTGCATGCACCACCAGATCCTGGGTTCAATCCCCTGCAAGAGGGGAGAGGCGGAAGGAAGTCTTATACATTTCCCTTAAACTATTCCCCACTAACCAAATCTCCTACAATTAACCTTAGCCTCCAAGTGAACAGCAGCTGTAGAAACTATTTGGGATTAATCAAAAATATGCAGACCTGAGCATGGGATTTAGCTTATTTGGTGCCACCACCTGCCTCACAAGCACAAGGACCTAAATTCGATCCCTGGTACCAAAAAACAAAAAAGAATATGTAGACGTGGTGACTGCTTTATTTTTTAAAAAATAATGATTATTTATTACTTTTTAAGATACAAATATCAGTATGTTTCCCTAAACGATTACTGCTAGAGAAGTAAGAATTATTCTCTACTGGGGGAAAAGGGACAATTTCATTCCCTAGAGGACAGATGACAAGATGCTGATACATTTTTGGTTGCCAGGTAGAAAGGAGGGCTGCTAACAGTATCTAATAGGTAGAGGCCATAGATGCTGCTATACAACATACCATACACAAGAAAGCTCCTTCACATCAAGGAATAACCAGCAACAGCACTGAGACTGACTTATAATAAACCATAATTTATAAATAAATACCTAATGCTCAGAATGTGGTTTCCAGTTAAAAATGTTTTTAATTACATGCCTCTGGTCCAAAAATTATCCAAAGGAGAACACACATTTTTAAATACAAACTAGTAATCAAAAATAAAATTTATAAAGTTGTTATAAGGCAAATTCTGTATCTGCCTAAGTTAACTCATAGAAAAACAACAGATTTCAAGGTACAGTGGAAAACCTATGAAGTTGAGCATTCAGAAACTCAACCTCCCCCAATAAAACTGTTCCACAGATAAAAATTAAGATTCAAGTACTCTAAAAAGACTTTCACGTTCCACATGAAAACAATCATCTTTTCCGCCTACAAGTTCTGAGCTGTAGGCAATCTTCTCCATTGAAAGTATAAGACAGAAAGGGAGCCAAAAGAGCATGCACCAATCACGGCCACTTGTCAATTAAGTGTCTTGCTTTACTTTTGCCATTTAAGAAAACTTATCTGCAGACTCAGTCATAAAAACAGTTCATCTAAAGGCTCTTTTGCTGTAAAATTATCATGGATCCAACATGCCAAAGATATGTAAAACTGAAAGCATAATGAAAAAGTATTTAAATTCTAAGCACATAAATTGTTCTTTGTTTAGTTTCGAGGCAAACACATTGCATCTCATATGCACAATTCATGACAGAAAAATGTTCACATACTTACAATTTTGTCTGATCCATAGATCTTTTCCAATTGTTCAGCAACATCCCTTGTTCCATCTGGGCTTCCATCATCTATGATTATGATTTCATAGTTGAACCCACTAAAATTAAAAATAAAATGGTATTACTGTTTGGAGACAGCATTTCAAGTTTTAAAATAGGTTAAAAATTATTCATATTCAGCAGCGAATGTGTAGATTTACTACCATATTAGCCACTAAGGGAAACTTCAATTACCAAATGTCAAAGACATAGTACTTTATTTTTTAAACCTAGTATGGTGCTAAAACATGCTATTGATACACTGAAAATTTTTCACTTAGAAAACATACTTTCAAATGGAAAGAAAATTGTAGTTTATATATATGACACACTATACCCCATAAAATTGTATATGCCTACTCTGAAAATGAAAGTGTGAAACCAAGTCTTAGTCTCACAAAGTATTTCAAAAATATTTTAAATGGCAACTCTAAGTGAACCTGAGTAATTATCCTTTTTAATTTAATACTAACAAATAATAATCAGGAATAAATTGGACAATTTCACTCTTAAAAACAGTTTAGAGTGGTGTCACAATCTTTAAAGCCCTATTGTAAATAGCTGGAACCATTAACCCATGACCAAACTTAAAATAAATAAAAAAATAAAATAAAAAGCATAGTAGAATTTTAAGAGATTTTACTGTGATTCAGAACCAACATCTATTACTTTTCAATGATTCATGATAATTTCTATTCTAAAAACAAGCCAACAGACCATTTGGTTGACCAATACTGCATAAAGGTATATATGATCACTGTCACATTTTCTTCTATTCACCTTTACCTCTCTTTAAGACATTAGGAAAGTTAAGGGGAAAGAAAGGGAGACAACACGGTTTCCTCTTGATCGTGGTTTTAAAAGAGAGAGGCAAGGAAACCAACCAAAAATTACATTCTGTTAAAGGCTTTATAAAAGGACTCAGTAAATTTTGAAGAAACAAAACCCCAATTTTCTATCTTCCAAGAACAGATACAACTTCAGCTCCCCACTGTGCCTTAACTCAGGGAACAGAACTTTAATCTGCCAAAATGCTAGAATGTTGACTAGGAAAGGGGTATTTCATAAACAAAATAGTCATTTATAAGGAAAATTATTTTCCTCTGCCTTTACAAGGCAGCCAAATCACCTATGGTGTGACAGCTGAAATAAACTGAGCTGACATGAAGTAACTGCATCTGAAAAAAGCAGTTTCCTTTACTAATTCATTTTGATATTCAAAAGTCTATTCAGAAACCATTAAAGATAAATTGCATTATACAGAAAGAAAGAATAAAGAAAAAAATCGTAAAATCAGAATACAAACCCAGAACGAGATGGTTACTATCTCTAATTTGGAAACAACTTGCAGAATCAAAGGAAAAGAGCAACTAAATGAAAAAAAGACATTAATTAAAACTTTGAAGGGACATATATATTCAGAAAGTTATTCAATGTCTAATCAAAACAGTAATGGTTTCCACCAATAAATTTTGCCAACACTGCAAGTCTAACAATTCTCAGGTTGCCATAATATTCACTTATTAAAGGCAAAATCACTGCAGTACATGGCAAGCATTTTTGTTAGAAAATGTGATGCAAAGTCGTTATTCCATTTACAAAGCAAAAGCCAAACAAAACACTGTTTTATTGTCTGTATTTACTGACGTGATCAGGCTGAATACCACAGCCTTATGGAATGTTACCTTTCAAAATAATTTGCTCTTCGTGTGTTAATAGCGTAAAAATCTTCAAAGGTTTTTACAGCATCATCCCATTTGTTTAAAACAGGTTACTCCCAGCTATTTGGATTTTTTGATTAAAAAAACCCAAACTGCACAACACTTTCAAATTCAAAATTCCTTTTTAACAACCACACCAAACACCCAAAGTGATGAGCGAATGATGATGCCCTTCTCTCTCCTTTCCAGACAGGTTATCCAGCCCAGCAGTGGTTCCCTAACCCCACATACAAAAACCTCAAGCTTACATAAGCAAGCCCAGGGCGCTGGGGCGGGGAGTAATCACGCTCGCTTAGGCACCCGGCACCGGCGTCTCAACCAGCTAAGAGTGAGGCCGGGTACTCACCTCGGAGGGGGGGGTGTCTAAGAAAAAGGCGGGGGAGGACGAATTCATAACAAAGATAAATGAGAATCTCACAAAACCCAAGAGCAGGAATGAGAACCCAGCACCCGAGAAGCCCAACACGTAGGCGCCTTCGCTCTCCTCGCGGCTTCCTGCGTGAGCCGTCTCGCGCAGCCAACCGCCGAAACCCTGGCGGGGGAGGCCAGCTCATCTCTTGTACTCGAGGAGAGCGGCCGGGGGCGCTACCTCTCAGAGAAGCTTTTCACCAGCAGCCACACGATGAGCGGCAAGTTCTCTCGCTCGTTGTAGGTTGGTAAAAGCACCGAATACTTGTTCTGGTACGGGGAGGGCCGCTGCGGCTCCCGCCGAGACCGGGTAGGCGTACGACCCGCTTCCTTAGAGGCCATGGCGGAACTGCGTGAGGTGCCGGAGGCGGAAATACATAAGACCGGCCTGGACCGTACCAAATACGGAGAAAAGGGGGTGGTCTGTGTGATTGCGTTCTACTCTTCTTCGGAATCTGTATGCGCCTGCTTACAGAATCTGTCTATAGTTCAGTTGTAACTTCTCAGGATACATGGATCTTTTTAAGTTGAACTGGAAGTTCATCTAGGAAATAACTTTCTATTAATCCCCTTTATCAAGCCATTAAATTTACTCCAACGCTTTCAGAAGGGAAGCCGGAAGCGGAAGTCATTTCGTGACACTTTCCGGGAGGAGTCAGCATGGCTACCCGGGAAGAGGTACTTGCCTTGCGAGCTGCAATTGCCCAGCGTGAGGAGGAGCTGAATTCCCTGAAGCAGAGGCTTGCGGCGGCTCTTTTGGCGGAGCAAGAACTGGAGCCAGAGCGACGAGTTCCTGTGTCGCCGCTGCCGCCGAAGGCCGCCTTGTCCCGAGACGAGATTCTGCGCTATAGCCGGCAGCTAGTGCTGCCAGAGCTGGGTGTACAAGGACAGCTACGCCTGGCTGCCGCCTCTGTCCTAATCGTGGGCTGCGGCGGGCTCGGCTGCCCGCTGGCTCAGTACTTGGCAGCAGCCGGCGTGGGCCGCCTTGGCCTTGTGGACTACGACGTCATAGAGTTGAGCAACCTAGCCCGCCAAGTGCTGCATGATGAAGCACTGGCTGGCCAGGCCAAAGCCTTTTCGGCCGCCGCCTCTCTGCGCCGCCTCAATTCGGAAGTAGAGTGCGTGCCGTATGCCCAGGCCCTGACTCCAGCCACTGCGCTAGACCTCGTCCGCCACTATGACGTGGTGGCTGACTGCTCCGACAATGTCCCCACTCGCTATCTGGTTAACGACGCCTGTGTGCTGGCCGGCCGACCTCTTGTGTCGGCCAGCGCCCTGCGTTTCGAGGGCCAGATTACAGTCTACCACTATGACGACGGGCCTTGCTATCGCTGCATATTTCCCCAGCCACCGCCGGCGGAGACCGTGACTAATTGCGCAGATGGCGGGGTGCTCGGTGTCGTAACTGGCGTCCTGGGCTGCCTGCAGGCTCTGGAAGTGCTGAAGATCGCTGCGGGCCTGGGTCCCTCTTACAGTGGAAGCCTGCTGCTCTTCGACGCCCTCAGAGGGCATTTCCGCACTATTCAGCTGCGGAGGCGCAGGCCTGACTGTGTGGCTTGTGGGGAGAGGCCCACTGTGGCCGATCTGCAGGACTATGAGGCCTTCTGTGGTTCCTCGGCTACCGATAAGTGCCGCTCTTTGCAGTTGCTGAGCCCAGAGGAGCGGATTTCTGTCACTGACTATAAGCGACTTCTCGATTCTGGGGCACCCCACTTGTTGCTGGATGTCAGGCCTCAAGTGGAGGTGGACATCTGTCGTTTACCTCATGCTCTGCACATCCCTTTGAAGCATTTGGAACGGAAGGATGGGGAGAGCCTGAAACTCTTAAGAGAAGCAATCCAGGGAGAGAATCCAGGAAGGGAATCGCTGGAGGGGGCTGCAGTCTCTGTTTATGTTATTTGCAAACTGGGAAATGATTCCCAGAAAGCTGTGAGAATCCTGCAGTCCTTAACAGCAGCACAACAGTTAGGTCCTTTAACAGTTCAGGATGTTGTAGGGGGTCTCATGGCTTGGGCTGCCAAAATCGATGAGACATTTCCACGGTACTGAGGTGACTGGTACAGTCTGTGGACTGTTGTAATATCTCAGATATATTTATTTGCATTTTTTCAATACCGTAAAGATCTTGGGATTCCACAATACATGGGATCTTACAAAGAATTTTTTGATTGTAATGTATCAGAGGACTTCCTAATTAATGGATCAAAATAGAGTTTTTGAGAACCATCTTGTGCTTTCACTTCTTAGATGATCTTGGAAATGCAAGACAGATTGTGAAAGGATTTTATATTTTAAACTGCACATCATTTATCTCCTTATTTATTTTATTGAGATGGTCTCACTATGTAGTTCATGCTGGCCTTGAACTCACCATGTAGCTCAGACTGGCTTCCAACTCATGCAATCCTGTCTCAGCCTCCCGACTGTTGCAATTATAGATATGTGCCACCAGGCCTAGCCTTTATCTGTTGTCTTTAATTTCCGCTTTTCCCAGTCATAAAGCTCTCCAAATTGTCCATTTTTTACCTGAAACTAAGATGTAATAGATTTAATCTTACCAAATAGATGACAGATCATATGCTCAGGGTCAGTTTACTGTTTAGTAAAGCGTTCTCTGGTTCTTATTTTGTCTACAAAATGTTTCATATGTAAAATGTTTTGGTGATCTAGGAAGTGGTTATTCTATTAGATATTTTGAATTAATATGAATGTGAAATCCTTACAGTTCAGCAAAATAGAGGAAACTGCCTTTGTGGTCTGGTTTCCCTTGTAAGTTACTAATATTTAAATTCCATCTCGTACAAATACATTTTCTAAAGTATGTTATTTAACAATCGAATTCAAAGTTGGAATAGTCATTGCTTTTAACTGAAACATTGTAACTCATTCTTTGAGCAGATAAGCTTAAAAATGTGCTGTGCTCTTTCTTCTCTGTTCTGAAGCTGGAGCAGGTCTGTTAGGAGGCCCTTTCCCAAGGCATTATGGAAATGAAGCCTTGGCGTGAGAGCAAAAGTGACTGACTTATGTCTTTCCTTCATTATTCTAGGGAAAGCTGGTTGTGGTGTATACTGGAAGCAAGTAGACCTGACTCCCATTTCAGAAGTTTCAGTCCATGTTTGTCAGGCTTAAACACAGAAACAGCATGGTGGAAAGATCTGAGCAGAGGAAAGCTGCTGTGTCCTGGTGACCAGCTAGCAGAGAAAGGAGGTAGGGAGGGAGGGCGTCCTTTCCAGGTAATCCTCCAGTGACCCACCTTGCTATTAGCAGGCTCCGCCTCCCAACTGCACACAAAGCTGCTGATCTCAGCAGAGGATGAATCTACCCATGAGTACAGCACCCCACAACCCCTCCCCCGTGTCCCAACCACATCCAACACATGAGATTTGGGAGGACATTCCAAATCTAAAGCTCAGAAACTCATATTTTGAAGATTGATATCTTCAATGTAGGCCATTGTAATTCCTTCTAACCTGGTTGTCTTGAGTCCAGGTTACAGAAGCTGACCAGATGATCAAGTGAGAAAGAGTTTTGTTAAAGTGGTCGATGTTTTTGAGACTTTGTGGGGGCTAACTCGGTATCCTAGGAGTGATGCCCAAAACATGCACAAACCAGACTTATGAGAACACTGCTTTGCTGCCCCACAAAACACTACAACTGCTCACAATTTAGGATATACACAGTTTACTATAAAGTCTTGTGTATCAACACTGACTGGCTTCTAATCTTTAGTTCAATTATTTACAATTTAAAAACAATAAATTGTGACTTAGTTGTTTCTGTCTCAACATCATTTTTGAGCAGCTTGCAGAACATAAGCAGAGGAAAAGGTTATGTCCTAAAATTTCCCCTCTTGATAACTTCATTGAAAAGCTGGCAGAGAAGGGTGATATGGTTATTATTATTATTGATGGTAGTAGTAGTAGTAGTAGTAGTAGTAGTAGTACTGGGGATCAAACTTGGGCCTTTGCACTTGTGAGGCAGGCGGCAGAACCGCTGAGCCAAACCACCAGCCCATGGTCATTTTTAATTACAGTACTTTCAGATGAGGGAGATCTTAAATGAATTAAAATTTAACAGAAAGTTTAGGTGAGTTTAGATAGTTGACAAAACTTGTGAGCAAGACCTGTGTTGTAAGAGCAAACGGATGTGGTGCTTTTATAATTTTGACTTCAGTGCCAGCTGAGGCGGACTGTCTGACCTGCCCAACAGCTCTGATCCCACCTTTTCCCTCACTGGCAGGGCTCCAAATGGGAGACACTCCTTTCTGCCATTCAAATAGATTCTGGATCTGACCGCTTCTCACTGTCACCAGGCTTATTGTACCTTTTACTCCACTAATCATCTCTGTGAAGTTTAGAGCTTTTGAGAAATTGCACACGAAGCATATTAATTGGACCATTGAGTGCCAAGTGAACTCTAGACCTTCCGTCTTCACAAGATAACAAAAGAGGTGCCTTTACACTGAAAGAGCTATCACCTCAAGACGTTTTTGGTAATTATAGATGCTCCCTCCATAGTTTTGAGAGTGGTAGAGGAAGATGGGACTTGTAGATTCTAAGTTTCTCTGATGACAAAACAGTAGTTAACAGCTTAAAAGGGCTTTGCAAATTCATTAATAGTATGGTGAGGCAAGTACTGTCATGGAGGTGCCCGGCAGGGACCACGGTGAGGAGAGTACACCTGTGTAACACTGCTGCACAGTTGAAGCCCACTTGGCCTTGCAGGAGGTGGCTACAGTGTTGCTGAGATTTTCAATCCTTTAAGAATACCTGGGGTCAGGTGTACACTTCAGTGGTAAAGGGAGTGCTTAGCATGCATGAGACCCTGAGCTCCATGCCCAGGACTAAATCAAACTCATTAAAACCAAATATTGGAGTTTTTTCCCCCTTTTTACTTTCTATGGTGTTGGATGTGAAACCAGGGCCTCATGTATAATGGATAAGCACTCTACCACTGAGCTACATCCCCTGCACACATACCCTAATTTTTCAAGGTTGAGAACACATTTAAAGCTTTCTAAATGAATTACCAAATGAACACACTTGTTAAGCTGAGTATAACCTTTAAATCTAAATAGAAAAAGGCAAATGAAAATCTTGAGTTGGGTCTTTTTAAATCTGGTGGACATGGAGACAGCTGAATATGGGGTGGGGGAAAGTAAAACTACTTAAACAATTTAACACCTGTACTTTAATATGTAATTTAAATTTTAGATTTAAAATTGTTTTTAATTTGTAACTATAGGCTAATCAGCTCAGCCAATGAAAGTTATGACAAAAAGGTGTTTCTTGCTGAATCATTTTTGTGTCATTTAGTGTGTATATTTACTATCATTTAAAATGATTTGAGAGTGGTAGTTTCAAAAGACTAAAACAATTAGAATAGAGATGCTGCCCGCACTATCCTTGAATGTTATTATTATTTTTTTGCTCTTCTCAGCATTTTGATGAATTGGTGATTGTAATTTTGTGGAAAAATGTACGTGCATAATATATAATCTGAAAGAAAATGGTTGATAGAAATGAGTTTACAAATGATACTTTTGGAAATTTGTACCTGTAGTATCTCAGGCTGAATTTTTTTTTCAAATCTTATATTTTTTTTCATACCAGGGTCCAACTCAGGCTTGAGTTTGCCAGGTAGGTGCTGTACCACTGAGCTATATTCCCGGTCCTAATTTTTTTTTTTTTTTTGAGACAGCATCTCACTCTGTAATTTAGGGTAAACTTGAACCCACTTTGTAGCCCAGGCTGGCCTCAAACTCATGGCAGTCCTCCTGCTTCAGCCTCCCCCGTGCTAGAATTACCAGTGTGCATCACCGTGACTAGCTCTCAGGCAGAATTGAACCCATAAATTAACCCCTGATAACAAAAGGAGAAAAAGCAGCAAGTGAATTAAGTCTTAAAAATACCAAAACGGTAGATGATTCATAATGATTTTCTAAAAAAGATTTTGTTATTATTATTATTTTTGGTACTGGGGATCACACTCAGGACCTTGGTGCTTGTGAGGCAGCTGGTGGCATCACTGAGCTAAATCCCTGGTCCAATTTTTTTGTTTGCTTTTTTGAGACAGCGTCTCACTATGTAGTTGAGGCTGACCTGGAACTCACTATGTAGCCCAGGCTGGTCTCAAACTCACAGCAGTCCTCCTGTCTCAGCCTCCCAAGCTGGGATTACAGGTGTGCACCACCACGCCTGGCAATTTTTTGTTTTTTTTAAACATTATGCTGGGAATGGGACCAGTGCTCATTCAATGCTACTACCAAGCCCCACCCTGGGCTCCCTGTTATCTTTTTAAACATTTACTTCTAGTTTTAAAAAGCAAACTATGTTCTCAAAATATCAATATTGTATAACATTATGATCATATGTTTAGTTTTAAAATATGCTTAGGTTTTTAAAAGTAATTCATGCTCAGGGTAAAATTTTCAACAGTTCAGATGTGTACCTCCTAAATGTTATGCAGTGTCCTGGACAGAAGCCTGAGACAGAAGGAAATCAGTGAAGAAACATCCTAATAAAGTCTGTTTGTTATAGTGCATGGTGCTCATGTCTTGGTTTTGATAAATGCACTATAGATTTGTAAGATGTTTAACAGAATGTATGGGACTATGAGTATATGGAAACTTCACCTTTGAAACTCAAAACAATTTGAAAATAAGTTTAAAAATAAATAATAATATGCACAGTAAGTGGAAGTCTCCCATCTCATAGTCTTCAGCCTTTCCAGGTTCTTCCTCAGAGTCTTTTGTAACATTCTTGTTATGTTCTTATACATACATATTTTCACATATACTTTGCTTTTTGATATGGGCATCTCGCTATGTTCCTCAGGCTGCCCCCTGAGCTCCTGGGTTCCCACCTCAGACCCCTGAGTAGCTAGGACTACAGGCTTACACTTTGTAGAATTTACATGGTACCATTTCATTTACATTGTTCCTATAGCTTGCTTTGAAGAATGTAGCTTGAATTGGCCACTGTTTCATTTGACCTCACTTTATGTAGATTCACCCCCCTTTTTAACCGCCCTTTAGGATGTCATTGTATACATGCTGTGTAGTTTCCTTAACCAGATCCTCATCACTAGACACTTAGGATCCTTACAGTCTTTGCTATTTGTAACAATGCTTGAAACAAGAGTTTAACATTTGTATCTTTGTATAAGCATTAACATGTAACAAAGTGCTTACCATGTCAGAGTACATCCACCTTTAATTTTTTCCCCACCAAGTTTATTGGTGCTTTTTAGGTATACAGTACAGTTACAGTCATCATTGGGATCTTGTACCTTTACATGATGTATCTTGGTTCTTATTTTTCCCCCATACACCTGCCCTCCCTTCACGCCCTCCACTCTTCCCTAATGACAAAGACTGTTTTTGTTTTTTCCTTTTCCCCTATTTTTTCTTTCCCTTCTTTCCTTTCCCCTACCTTTCCTACTTCCCCTACTCCTTTAGACCTTTTCTTCCTAATTCACATGGCCAATTATGTAATCTGAACCTCATTTTCACTTTCAGTTTTTCACACCAGAGAAACTGTTCAGTATTTACACGTGTGTCCTATTTATTAAAAATAAGGACTGCTTGACAGACTTGTGTGTCATCCTTGCACAGGGGCCACACATCTCTCTGTATCGTTCCATTTTTAGTATATGCGCTGCCAATGTGAGCACTCCACCTTTAATTTTTAATTAATTTCAGCAGTGTCAAGTTTCTCCTCAAAGAAGATGTATTAATATATACCACTATACTTAGGAAGGGTTATTCCCACCCTTTGCTTCAGTCTGAGAAGAAAGAGGGTGCTGCAAAGACCTCCACCCAGGACAGTTCCTCCTCTCAAGACCTCTTCCCTCCTTCCCTGAAGTGTCCTGGCCTCCTAGGCCCCTCTTCTGATATCCTGGGGGAAGGTGAGAGCAGGCCCGGGGAGGATGTCACGCTGAGGACCCATGGTGTCTACCAAGAAGATAGAAATGCTGACAACAGCTGACTCCCAGAAACTGCTACACCCACTGAATACTCTGTTGGAACAGGGGGCTAGTGTCTTCTGAAGGTCTATGGCTTGAGACTAATGGAATCTGCACATGACAGTGTCCTCTGAATGAATGCAAGACTAAGGGACTTTGAAGGAAAAGATCTTAGTCTAATCCAGTTATTTGGCTTTGGCACAGACATTTTATTGAGCTCTGAATTCACTGGTCAGATTCCTGTTGAAAGTGCAGCCCAAGCATCTTGGAGGTGTTGGACTGGGCTGCTTTTATTTGACTGTAAAATCAATAGAAGATGAAGGAAATGTCCCATTGGCTACTGACTTGATCTGAATAAGTAAGAGGTTCAGACGTGATGAGAATGGAAAAGACTGTATTGGAGGTGTTGGATTGCATTGAAACTGCCTTTCAGTTTCTACAACTCTATTCTCACTCATTCAAGAGAACTTGCCCTTTGAAAGGAAAAATAGCCTAAATTTTGAAAGACTAAGGCATGTCACTGCAGGATCACATTTTCTAAAGCAAAGCCTTCTGAATTGGTCTTATCTATCACTGCATTGGAGATCCAGGCACAGAAGTGTGTAGAGTTAACAGGAGTAGAATGTCTTCAGAAACATTCCAAGATAAATGGCAGAGATCTGACTTTCTGGCAAGAGCTTATATTCAAGTATTAACTGAATATTCATCAAACAAGTGTTTCAAACCAAAAGCGGATTATTTCTGGGTGTCCTGCACAGTACCTGAAGCATAGTTACCATAGAATAACTCATCTTCCAACAATTCCTGAGACAGTCCCTTAACTGGTAAATTTGGTTCTTATTCTCTGTGTAGAGAAAATTGTATAATTTTCTTCTACATCTAAAGTATTGAAATCTTATCTTCAAAATAAACCAACTGGAATTGGGATAGCAAAAGGGAAAAAACGACATCACCAATTTATATATCAGGTAAACACCCTAAGGAGAGGAGTTATCCAGTGTGTTAACCATTTCATTAAATTAGCAGCTTAGAAAACAACATCCTTTTTAATAACTTGTATTTTTAAAGTAGCCCTGAAGCAGTATGTTTTATCTAGCCCCAAACTCTAGCTTATTTAAAGTTATAACAGGACCAAAAGTTTGATCCATATGTGAACTAATTTCAGACTGTTAGTTTATAAGCAGAATTGTTATGAACTTGGATATTGTACTTAAAGAAAAGCTAATACAGAGCAGATGATCTCTGTTGGGTTTCTAAAAATTGCCAGTATGTCTCAACATACTGTTATAGCAATTAGAGAGAACCTCCACCCCCACCCCCACCCCATACTGGGGATCGAACTCAGGACCTTGAGCGTGCAAGGTAGGTGGGGTGCCACTGAGCTAAATCTCCGGCCCTGCTATAGCAGTCAGAGTATTGGAAAATAATTATATTCATAAAAGTGTAAATTCAGTCATGCATATATTCTATATGTTCTTGCCATCTAGATTTATTAACTTACAGTAATGTTTTATCTTTTCCTACTCAATACTAAATGTTAACATTTAACACATCTACATATGATTATGAAACTTAGGTACGAAAAATTTACTTTTAACAGCTAGTAATATTTAGACAAACTTTTGACAAGTGGGGGTTTTTGTTTTTTACCTAAATAGCATTATTGCAGCAACAGAAAAAAAATTTTGAAGCCTTTCTCCACAATCCTGAACTATGGATTCCATGATGTTATAATGGATTTAAATTATGAAGCCTCAAAACATCACAAGGAGATGTTCTCCAACTTGGGGATACTGCCTAAGTAATACAATGTTGCAGTGAGATTGTTTAGATTTGAATTCATCTGTAAAGCTAAAGGCATAAATGTGAAACATTCAATCCAAGCCAAAAAGGTGAACTGTGAATCTTCATTTCTAACATTACTTTTTTATATTGGATCAATATATATTATACTTAGATAATATCGAATATGGTAACACTCTTAATTTAAATTTGAAATTATGAGGTTTACATCAAAATGAACATTTCACAAGTACTTCCCCCCCCGCCATTTGGTACGGGGTTTGAACTTGGGACCTTGCACTTGCAAGGCAGGTGGTGGCACCACTGAGCTACATCCCTAGCCCTGTGTGCCCTTGATTGTGTGTGTAGGCAGGCATGTGTGTTACATGTACATGCATATGACTAAGAGGACTTACAAAAGGAAAAAACAGCAAACCGTCATTCTTAAGGCATTTACAGAAAGCCCATTATGTGTCAGGCACTGCTTGGGTTCTGAGAATGCAAGATAATTGGGGTATAAGCCTTGCAGGTGCTTTCAACTCATCTTAGGCCTTTATATATGTAATTTAGAGTCCTTTCCCATCCAAATTATTTATTTTTTGCACCAGGAACCAAACTCTGGTCCTTGTGCTTGTGAGGCAGGCGGCAGAACCACTGAGCTACATCCCCGGCCCCCACCTACATTATTTAGTCTTTCAACAGTTCTGCATGATACAGAGAATGGTCTCTTGTTCATAGCTCCCCTTACATGTCCTTACCCAAAATAGATTTCCATAACATAGCTTAGTGTGGACAGGGAGTCTTTTCCTTGAGGTGGAATCCTGACGGTAGTGACCTCAGGCTCTCCTGTCCCCTGTGTAGCATTTTAGGAAAGATTATATTGTACTTAGCTATTCCTACGTATTTTATGTGCTCTGATAATTTTCAGAAAACCTTCTTCGGAGCCCCAGTGGGATGTTGTGAGCACATGGATTTCCTCTGTAATGAGGCTTGTACTGTGACTGCCCGTAGCTGGTGGTCTCCTACTGGGGTCAGAGTCACTTCAGTGCCGTCTTTTGTCTTTGTTGCAGTATGTGGTGGGACGCCAGTGCCATTAGCAGAGCACAGGTATTCCTGACACATATTCTGCATTTCCAATGAACATTTTGCTTATGAATTTAAGGCTGTCTGTGTACTTATACGCATGCTGTATAAATCACGTATGTGCTTGACATGCAGTGTCATGGCCGAGTTTCCCGATTTAAAAGCAAACATGTCACGGGATCTCTTTTTCTTGATTGAATTTCTAAAACCCAGCTGCATGGGGGCAATAACTGCAGCACTTAAAACATTTGGAGGTCCAAGACAATTGTGGAGTTTTTGTATCGGAGACTCACACATGTGACATGAAAAGGAAATACAAAGGCGTAAGAGTAGTGTAGGGTGGGAAAGGAGGGCCATGCAGTTAGATGTACATTGTAACAGACCCCGGGCTGCTGTTTGGTGGTGAATTTGCAGTTACTATTACATGACTAAAGACATTAAGGAGAAGCAGGTCATGAGTGACTAATGATGTTATACATCATTGTGTGCCCTCAAAATCCAAAAACGGTGAATAAGGTAAAAATACAAAGGTCTCTTATTTGACCAACTTGAAAACTAATCTATTGGGCCAAGATTATGCATTTGATATAGTAGATTGCTAATAGACAAGAACCATTTAATGATTGACACCATAGTCTCATTCACAGCATTTCCAATGAGAGAGAAGGAAAGCACTCTTTTTGATTTCTCTCCAGAAGGCTTGCCTTTATTTTTGCTCTTCCAGAGTTATACACAGGGACTCTTTGGAGCATTTAGTTAAAGAGTTTTCTAGAAAGGCTCTTAGGACTATTTAATTGACAGCTACTGTATCTCTTATCCTCATTCCCATTGCTCTGTAGAGAAATATTTCCCCATGTGCGTAGCCTGGTAATCCCAACCTAACACAAAAGTCCAAGCTTGCTTCTACGTCATTAGAACTTGTGTGCTCATAAACAGAGGACGTGCAGTGGCAATGGTTTAGGTCATGGCAAAGAAACAGGATGGATTCATTCAAGATTGATTCATTCATTCAAGAAATATTTAATGGAGCCATGGAGGCATAGGGGTGCATGTCTGTGATCCAAGCACTCTGAGAAGCTGAGGCAGGAAGATGGCAAATTAGAGCCTCGCCTGAACAACTTAGTGACTCAGTAAGTCCCTGCCTCAAAATAGAAAACAGAAAAAAGCAGGGTATATGTCTCAGTGGGAGGTTTAATCCCCGGCACTACTCCCCCGCCAAAGGCATTAAGGATAGCACGCACTGGTCAGATAAACAGACAGACTTGACTCGGGCTGCACAAGCCCACATCCTAGTACAGGAGAAATGATGGATAATCCAATAGGCGGTTGTAACATGGGATTCCACGGAAAGGAATTATGGCTGGGGCAGAGCCCAGGAAAGATTCCATTTAAACCAAGAAGCCTGAAAGAGGAGGTAGCAGGAGCCATGAAATGAGTTAGGGAAAGGGCATTCAAGACAATGGGAAGAGCAAAGCATCTGAGGCTGGAAGAACCCTGACCTGGAAAACACAAGAGAAACCACGTAAGGGTGGAGGAAAGTTGGTGAGAGGGAGAAGAAGGCAGGGACTGGTTCACACCAAACGTGGTGAGCCAGGGTGAGGAGTCTGGATTGTGTTCTAAGGGTAATGAAAAGTCACAACGGGTGCATCCGTGTGTTTTCTGTTACTGTAACAAAAACCAGAGGTTCACCTCTTTTATCAAGAGACTTATGTAGGTCAGTTCTGGAGGGTCAAAGGCCTAACACTGGCATCATTTTAGCTCTGGTGAGGACCTCATGGTAAGATGGCAACACATCCGAGGAGAAACGCATTTGAGAAGAGAGATCACCGGGAGAAACAAGAAGCCGGAGCACAGGGAGGCTCCAGGTCATTCTTGAGAAACTAACTCAGGGCATAAGTAGTACCTTCATCACTTCCAGGGTCAGCACCCCCAGTGACCTTTCGCTGGGGTCCACCGCTGCATATAGCCACCTTGTGGACCACACTTCTAACATTTGAAATCTTGGGTGCAAACCACAGGTAACTGGTGATGGTGATGGCATGTATGGGTTTCTTTTTGCTGCCATAGCAAATTTTCACAAATGTATTGTCTTGAAATCCAGATTTATTATCTTGCAGTACTGGAAGTCAGAAGTCTTAAGATCCAAGTGTCACTACAGGTGCAGTTTTTCTGAGCTCTAGTGGACAATCCTTCCCTTGCCTTTCCAGCTCCAGACCTAGGGGCTGCCTGCATCCCTTGGCTTTTGGCCCCCTTCTCCATCATAGACAATAACGTAGCAATTTCAGCTTCGTCCACTCAGCCAGGCAGCTCCCTCCCTTCCAGCCACCCCAACTCTGTAACTCGTCTCTGTCCTGCTTCCAGCACCACAGCATTGCCCTGAACACTGATCTTTTTCTCTTCCCCTTGTACAGATCCCCGTGGTTTCACTGCGCCCACCTGGATAACCCAAAGACACTTTTCCTTTCTCAATATGTGCAACTGAATCCCACCTGCAAAGTCTCAATCTACCATGGACAGTAACACAGTCACAGGCGCCAGAGATTTGGACGTGATATTTTTGGGGGCTGTTACCCTGCTGATACCCGAGGATGAGGGTAGGGCAGTAGAAGAAAAGTGAAAAGTAGACAGAATGGAGATGCATCTTGGAGGTAGGTCCCTGAAGGGCTAAGGGAGGGAGAGGAAGGAGGAAGGATGAAAGGATGACTCAGGGTTTGGCTTGGGTGACTGGATGGGCTGGCTGGAAATGCGTGGAGGAATAGAACAGCAAATGAGAAATGAACCTTTCCTCTTCAGTGTACTGGATCCCATTGCTGATACGATTAGGAGATAACAGAGAAACGCCAATCGAGAGGTGCCAAGCCCATTCCTTAAAGAGGATCATGCAGACTCCTGAGGCCACAAGCGATCTCCTCCCCAGAGCCATCCCACTCCACAGTGTGTATTCTTGTATTCCTACAGATGGGGCCAGCCACTCTGCACACTGAACCCCAAAGTAATGCTCAGACTGCCGACAGTAACCTGAGGGAGTGATTAATGGTTCCTAAAATTGGAGACTATTAAAAAAACAAAAATTCTATACAGCAAGGTACAAAAATCCTAACTACACCAATCGATTAATTTTCCCAAGTGCACACAGTTCAATCATCAACTCCTTCCCAGACCGAAAAACAGAATGTCAGGGGATGTGGGAGCCACCCCCTTCTCCTGGGAGGCCCTGTAAGCTCTGAACATGGGGTTGAATGAAGGCTGCTAGAACAGAAATGAGCTCACCCGGTTAAGTGTGCCTTTCATTTTCCCACTTAAGTGCCAATCAGTTTTCTCCGTCTGTACTGAGATTCTGATTCTCCATCGTGGCCCTTTCCCAGTGCCTGGCCACTTCCGTAGCTGTCCTCAGCAATCCTGGCTCTGAATCACGACCCGGGCCACCCCATCTCGGACATGAGGGCAGTGACGCCGGACAGGTAGATGTACGTGAAAGCCACCTGAACAGCAGAGCCCTCAGATGCAGAGGGAGTGCACTCCCCTGCCCAGCCAGCCGCATCCCAAGACATCTGGGGGTGCCACTCTGCCCAGCTGCCACGGCATATGGAGGGCCCCGTGAGAGGCCCGCAGACGGCACAGCCTTGCTGGCAGCTTCACACGCATGAGGAGTTTGGGAGAATGTTCCACAGCAGCCGCGGGGAACAAGTCACTAATGAATAGAGCAGCTTGTGTGCGGACACTGAGGTCATGCTTGCCTGGGCGACTCAGCCTGGGATAGCCGCGGGGCCTCGACATAACTTCTGCATTACACCCTGCCCTCTTCAAATATTCCCTAGCACTTCCTCTTTGCTGACCTCAGGGTTGCAGCAGAGATTAGGGAGCATGGGCTCTGAGCTCTCCCAGAGCCCGTCACTGGCAGGAGAGAGACCTCAAAAATTAAGGGACAGGGTGATGATTAGCAGTGTAATTTGCAGGGTCCACGTTCAAACACTTAAGCCTTTCAGGCTGGATGTGGTGGCACATGACTGTAATCCCAGAAGTTGGAAGGATGAGGCAGGAAGATCTCAGTGAGTTCAAGGCCAGCTTTGGCTACATAGTGAGTTCAAGGCCAGCCTGAACTACAAAATGACACCTTATCTAA